CCGTGGTACTTTGGGGGTGGTGGAAGAAGCGGCGGGTTTTCCCATGGAGCCGGTCCATTTGCTCCCATTTCCCCCCATGGTTTGTCCTGGGGGCGGTCCCTGTGGCCCCAAGTTCACCGGACGTCCATCTCCAGATCAGCCTGCTCCCTAGAGGAGGCCACCGTGAGGTCAGGGGGAAGGAGCGGTGGCTGCTGTGGGGTCAGGAGTCTGCCTTGGGGAGCTGGTGGGTTGGCTCCCATCTCCCAGATGGCCTGGTGTGGGCGTGGCCTCTCCTGCCCCAGATCACCAGACACACCTGTCCCATTCAGCCTGCTGTGGGAGGGGCGCCCTAGGAAGTGCCTTTAAGGTGCGGGGGTCCCGACAGCGGGGGTCGAGCACCTGCAGCGCTGAGCCTGTCAATTTGCTCCCCTCTTCCCCGTGGCCAATCCTGGGGGCGTCCTCTGCTGCCCAAGAAGCCGGATGCCTGTCTCCAGGTCAGCTTGCTCCTGGGAGGCAGGCGCGATGCGGTCGAAGGGCAGGGGCAACTGCGGTGGCCTGCTGCCCTGACTGAATAATGGGGTCACTTCTTCTCCTCTCCCCTGACCTGGCCTGGGGACGGCCTCTCCCGCCCAAGATTCACCTGACACCCCACACCAAGTCAGGTTGCTCCTGGGAGGTGGGCGTGGTGAGATCAGGGGGTGGAAAGGAGAGGGGGGCTGCCCCTGGTGAGCTGGAGGATAAACTACCATCTTTCTAGAGGCCTGACGTGGGGGTGGCCTATGCTGTCCCTCGTTCCCAGGTCACCCTTCTCTGGGTCATATTGCCCCTGGGGTGCGGTAGGGTGCGGGGGCAGCGGGGTGGTGGCGAGGGTATGGAGCCTGCCGCTTGGGAGCTGGTGATTTAGCTCCCATCTCCTAGCAGCTTGGCTTGGGGGCAGCCTCTATTGCCCCAGGTCTCAAAGCACAGTTTCCCTGACAGCCTAACCACCAAAGGTAGGCAGGATGTGCTAAGGGGGCAGTGGCAGCCTCCAATGCAGCAATGGAGGGGGTTGTCCCTGGCCAGCTGGTCAATTTGTTCCCATCAAAACCTTTGCTGCCCCACTTTCGCAGGACGTCCTTCTCCAGTTTATCCTTCTGGGAGGCGGGCGCAGTACATGCAGCCCAAGGTCTGGGCTCTCCCCTGGGGAGGGGCAGAACTCTCTTGTTCTGCTTTGTCTTTATTCTTCAGTGAAGGGGTCACTGGACCCAATTCTTAATCCTGAGAAAGTGTAGCCTGTGTTAAGGAAGAGCTGCTGGACAGTGTCTTTTCTAGGTGGGTTTTCACATCAGCTGATGCCCCAGGCAGGCAGGAAAGCTATTACTCAGAGCTTCTTAATCTGGAGTTGGGAGATGGCTCTGCCATCCTCATCATGCTTTTTAAAAATGTGTTACTCCCCTCTTTTTCCTAGGTGACATTTTAGGTTATTGGGTCACAGATTGCTGGCACACTCATCCCTGTTCTCAAACAACTTTTAAACTTGGGCAAAGTGATAAGTAGGGGAAGAAGATGATTTACTGAAAGGTAAGAATACTTAAATTTGCATTAAAGCTACATTCTGTCAACCTTTCTCAAATGATTTTTCTCTGATTCTAAATCCACGACCTAATGAATGTTGTACTCCTGTGTAAATCATTGATCTTCACATCACATTTTTTGAGTGGTCAATGAGATTTGTTAATTAGATTATTCCTGAAAGGAAAAGCTGAGGCTTTTGAGAATTCCTTGTCTGATGTCACCCAGACAGTCACAGTAGAAGACAGAGCTGATATAAAACTCCCTCAGCTGCCTGAACTGCAAAGCTTCTGGGATTACTGATCCCTGAAATGCAGGTGACTCTTGATGATATCTGGGGGATGTTTTATATGATCAGATTCTTCCAGTCCTGTAAATGGATTCCGTGGCCCCAGCCTCAGAAGAGGTGGTCATAAGGGCCATATCGTGAGGGGTGGGATGGGAAGGCAAGGTGTAAGAGCTGGAATCACTGAGATTCCACACTCGCTAAACACAGACCTCAGAGCCTAATTGTTGTCAGGTTCTGTATTGGATTTGAGAGTGTGTTCAGACATGATTCTTGCCCTTCAGAAGTCAGTGCCTGGGTAGAAGTAACCTTTCCATAAATCTGGGAAGGATGGCAATTAAGTAGATGGGCTGTTATGGTTCTCAGTGTGCCCAGGCTGGCCCTTCCAGGCACTCGTGGGACTAACGAGAGTCATGTTATTCACTCATTCACTGATTTATTACCCTTGAATTGATCATTTGTCCCACAGTAAGTGAAACAAGGGATCAGGAACCTGAGTTTTGTCCCCTCTCCTATCACTGATTGTATCTGTCAGTCGGACGCCCTGCGTATGCATTGTGAAATGGTGGTATTTCTTCTCCAATGGGCTGCATTGTCAGTTCTGAGAATCAGGGGGGACACGTGGGTAGGAGAGCACCCTGACACACATGACACCCCCTACCCCATGAGACAGCATTGTTGATGCTCAGGTGACCCGATGTAGACCGCGGTGCTAAACCTGAGTGTATTTAGTCATCTTGGCGGATCTGAAAATACAGACTACAGGTCCCTACCTCTAGAGACGTTGAGGATCTGCACCTCAGAATCCTGCATTTTAAGAAGCACTTTAACTAATTCTGATGAAGATGATCTGAGTGTCCCACTGAAAAACACTGGTGTACGATGCCCCAATATTGAAGATTCTCAGGGAATGATGTCTTTTCAGGATGGCCCAAGGGCCCTCACTTGAGACTTTTGCCTTGTGTTTAATTGTATGTGTTCAGAAGTGATGTCTCTCACTTCCAGTGTTTGTCAGTATGCTCTGTGCAGGGACTTGCACTCAGTAGATGGCAAAACTGTGATTCTTCAGGTCACCGAACTAGAGCGTGAGCGATATTTTATTTTGGTTTTCTTTATAGCAATGCAGAGTCTTCCGAGAAGAGATTCAGACTGAACAGTTTGGGTCAGACTTTGGAAGACCGCTGGTGCCCAAGGTGTTATCTGGCAGAGCAGTGACGAATCTAGGTCCCTCTTTCACTGCTACGTCAATGAAGTGGACCACTTGGACAAGGCCAAAACTGGTACCCAACCATAGCCCTTCACAGTGATATTTGGCTCCAGAAAGCCATCAGATGCAGCAGGTGGCCAGAGGAGGAGCTGAACAGGCTCATGAAATGTGACATCCCCAACTTCATCAACACGGACCAGAACTCTTCCTTTGGGGAAGATGATCTCCTGATTTTGTAACCACCGATTGTTCTAGAAAATAAGCCAATTGCCCAGACCTCACACAAAGACTTGAATTGAGAAACGTGCTTTGTCAAGTGTCTTTCTGAAGATGTGAAGTCTGTATTTGTATGGCAAGAAGTCACCTTTAACAAAATTGTATGTGTCTGTGTCTGAGAGAAATGGAGACAGACAAAAAGACGGAGACAGAAGAGAGCCCCTCAGAAGAGAGCTAGTTAAGGTGAGTTTTTGTGCCTTTAAAAAACATTTGCGGTTTTGGGGGGAACAAAGTATTTACTCTGTCTCATTCTCCTAGTTGGAAATCTTGGCCCCATACTCAGTGTTAGCGGCCTTGAACGGGGGTTGGCAAGGTGCGTTTCATCTGGTGCTGCCACTTCCATGCTCTGCCTTTAGCACGTTGCTTTGCCTATCAAGGATGCCACCCTTTTAACTGTAAGGTGAGGAGTCTGGAGTAGATGACCCATCCCAGCTCTGCTGCTTTGAAAATTTCTGATTTCGTATTCAGATGAGGCTGGGAGACACCCAGAGCAGTAAAAACCAGGCCCTACCTCCTGTCTCTTGCTGGGGCATCCCTCAGGTCTGTGCTTTCTACTCAACCCTTTACTGAGCCCAGCATTTGTCAGCAGCCCAAGTGCCTAACGAGATGGCAGGAGACTTATCTCTCGTGGTCACGGTGGCGAACATTTCTATTTGTTGTGCTGAAACAGCTCTTCTGAGATCCCCCGGCCACCCTTGCTCAAACCTGAGGACAGCCCTGCCCTTCATTTCCTAGGATGGGGATCAATACTTGGTGCGTTTTATGACAATCCTGTCCCCAGGAATGCACGGAAGGTTTTCAGCTGAGTGAGGGGAGGTGCCTCTGTGTCTCTATGTCCCTGTATCTCTGTCTGCTCACAGTGCCCTGCCACCGGCTACTGAACAAGAAAAGTGCTATTCTCTATGCTGTGTGTTTTGCAGATGTGTAGGTGATGGTCATGTGGCTCATGTGTGGGCTTTGAGCTGGGATGGTGTAGGGCTTATAAACACCTCACCAACATGTATTCAAGGTGGCCTGCTGTCACAGAAACTTGATTCATGAAGGCATCAAGCCTGCACACTGGTTTGGAAACAACTTGGTTTTGATCAGTCACACTGCATGCATGCCTCGCTGCTAATCTCTGGGTCGTTTTTTAATTTTAGATTTATTCACCCCATGTCTTGCTTAAGCTGAAAAATACTTTTATTTCACCAGAATATTCTCTGATTCTTTGTTTTCAAACATCCAGTGTTTTAATTCCTTTAAAAATGGTTCTGTGTTTTTAATGCCTCCTAATTTCTATCATCTCTAGGATTCCAGTGGCCTGAGCCATGCACCAGATTTGATGTACAAACTGTTCCACCAGAAGAAATCCCTTCACCATAATATTTTTTGAGGAAAATATTATTCTTTAAGACTCTAACACTAAATCGTAGAACAAAGCATGGAACATATCTTGTAGTTAATACATGTTCATGCAAAAAGAAACGATATTTTCATTAAAGAATGTTGATTTTAATAACTTTTACTAATGTGAATATTATTATTCATAACTTAAGTAACCAAATAAATCAGTTATTTATTATTAAGATTAAAAACTATTTACATGGTCTCTCAATTAGAAGACTGAAGTGAATTTAAAGATGGAAAAATACCCATGATGACACCATCTTTTTTATTAACTAATATCAAGAACTGTGCAGGGTTATGATTTGGCCACCTGCAAGCTGCCAAGTTAGCATGAGGTAGTTTGTGGATGCTGCCAGAAGACAGGAGACTCCCCCAGGATCAGAGACAAAGGACTTCCTGCCAGCACAGCAGGCAGCCTGTGGTTCATGTTCATGTTGGTTTCTGAGTTCCTTTCCTATTGCTGTTGTAACAAAGGACCACAGACTCAGTGGCTTAAGGCAAGACACATTCATTGTCGCACTGTTCTAGGGTGCAGAAGTGCAAAGTCAATGTCAGTGGGCTAAAACCAAAGTTTGGTCAAGGCTATGTCCCACACCGAGGCTCTAGGGAGGGATTTGTCTTCCTACCTTTCCCAGCTTGCAGAGGTGCTCACACTTCTTGGCCCAGGGCCCTGTGTCATTGTGACTTCTGCTGCCACTTCACATCTCTGTCTCTGACCCATCTGCCTCTCTCCTCTGACCTCTGTGATGATGTTTGATTACCCACAGTGATCTGCCATCCCAAGGTCCTTGACAGTCACACCTTCAGAGTCCCTTCTGCCATTGCACAGTGACATATTGACAGGTTCTAGGGATCAGACCGTGGACATATTGGGGGCCATTATTCTACCACGTTCTTCCCATTGGCCTCACACGTTCTTGTCCATCATACATGCAAAATGCATCCACCTCATCCCAGCACTCTCCAGAGTCTCATTTACTACACTATCAACTCAAAGTCCAACATGTAGTCTATTATCAGCTCAAAAGCCTAAATATTTTCATCCTCATCACCTAAGTCAGGCATGAGTGAGACCCTGCGTGTCAACTTTTCTGCTCAAAATCCTGCAATGGCTTTTCATTTCACTCAGTGAAGATGCGAGTGTATTTACAATTACTTTACAGCTTTCTTCCCCCTCCCCAAGCTGAGCTCATCTCCGGTTTTCTCCCTGCCTCACTCCGCTCCAGCCACACTGGCCTTCCTGCTGGTCCTTGGGGACATCAGACATGCACCCATAGGGCTGTTGCCCTGGCCAGTCTCTGTCCAACTCATATGCTGAAGTCCTAGCCCCCATGACTACAGAACATGACCTCATTTGGAAATAGGGTTGTTGCAGATGTCATTGGTTAAGATGAGGTCATTAGGGTGGGCCCTATTCTAGTATGATTTGTGTCCTGATAAAAAGGGGCAGTGTGGACAAAGAGACACATGTACATGGGAGATGACGTGATGAGATGTGGAGAGAAGACGGTCATCTACAAGCCAAGGAGAGAGGTCTGGTCCAGCCTCTCCCTCCCAGCCCTCAGAAGGAACCTGCCCTGCTGACGCCCTGCCTTCGGACTCCCCGCCCCCAGGGCTGTGAGACAGTGAGCCTCTGTGGTTCACGACACCCAGTGTGTGGTGCTGTGTTCGAGGAAGCCCAGCGACTAGTACCCCCTTCTCAAGGTCCTCAGGGAGGCTGACTCAGGCCACCTCATTTTAAACTGGAAACCGCCTTCCCCTTGTCTCTGCCCCAGAACCCTCCTCTCCCTGATCATATTA